TATCAGTAATAGTAATGTACTGATAAGGCAGTGATAACGTAGTGATAACGCAGTGATAACGGCTGTTTACATTTAGGTTTATATTGATACGTTTATATTAATGATTTCGATCCTAAAAGTGAAATTAAGTCAACAGGTACACATTTATTTCAGTTCAAAATCGTTTGGAAGAGGGTTATTATTATTGTTATTATCAATAATGATAACGATATGATTACATAAGTGATAAGGACTGATAAGGATAGTAGTGATAAGGATTACAGTGATAACAGTACTGATAAACTGATAAAATGATAATAACTCGTAATCCAGGGTAATCCAAGGTAATGCTATAATCTCATTAATTTATACTTATCTATCACAAATAGGTCACTTGAACACCCAAAACCCTTGAGCTATGCCCCAAGAGAGTTAGCCGTTTGTGAATGTTGCCACGAAATGGAGTCGGACCGAATCCAAAATCCAAAACTCCAGCAGCCCAAACCCTATCCGAAGACCGCCCGTCCAAACCCACTATATCCGAGGCTTGAAATCTAAAGGATATTGACCAATTATCTGAGGGATATGGTCCAATTCGGACGGATAAACTCTCCAGGACTCTATCTCAAACAATCCCCTCAAAATCTTTCACCTATGCCCCAAGAAAGTTAACCGTTTGTGAATTCTGCCACGAAACAGAATCGGACCGAATCTAAAATCCAAAATCCAAAACTGCAGCAGCCCAAACGCTATCCGAAGACCGCCCGTCCAAACCCACTATATCCTAGTCAACAGATCTGAGGGATATTATCCAAAGGATATTGTCCAATTCGTCTAGATAAACTCTCTAGGACTCTATCTCAAAAAATCCCCTCAAAACCTTTCACCTATGCCCCAAGGAGACTTAACCATTTGTGACTTTTGCCACGAAATGGAGCCGGAACCGAATCTAAAATCCAAAACTCTAAAATCCAGCCCAAACTCATCCGAACGCCCGTCCAAATCCCATCCAAACCCACTATATCCGAGTCAACAAGCCTAAAGGATATTATCCGAAGGATATTATCCTAAGTCCAATTATCCAAAACATTCACAAACATCCACAAACAAGTAAGCCATCGAACACATGTTCACCCATTAAAATAAGACTTATTACCTGAGGATTTAAGTGTAAAACACTATATAACCGCACCACACCACACTCTAAAATATCCATCCATCCATCCAACTGCCCTGATCAGCTAATGAAGTAAATAAATCTCTAAAGTAAGCTCTCTATGCCGTTTGTGCCTGCTTTCCAGCCTAATGCCTTAAGCCTTATGATTCAACTCGAAACAGCTGTTCGGAATATATTGTTGGGTTGTGGCTATTATATTTAGCTGTTCGGCCCCATTTTACACTTTAGATTTACACTTACTTACTTATTTCATTTAGAGTAAATGGCCTCATAAATTAAGCGATTTATAATTGAAATCAGAGCAATTTAATGAAGTCAATAGAAATTTCCGGAAGGGAGAAACCAATTTATGGAATGAAAAATTTTGACATGAAATGGAATTTTTTAAATTTTAAGATTTTGAAATTTTAAAGTTTTTAAATTTTTTAAAATTTTCAGAATTTACAAGAGAAATATAGTGGTAATAGTGCTACTACTGGTGGTAGAGCTGCAGCTGCAGTTAACTGTAAAAGAAGTCGACGACAAGACAATAACCTGAAATTCAAAATTTGCTAGTGCAAAAATTTTCACAACCTGAAATTAGAATTTGCGGCGGAAGGGGGGGGCACGGATAGTGTACATATGAAGATCAAAGGTGGGGGAGTGGGGGTAAATAAATGAAGACCAAGTGGGAGCAGGGTAACCGGAACCGGGTAGGGGGTTTGAGGTTGAGGTTGAGGTTCGGGCTCGGATACGACTCCGTTCAAGTACCCCAAATCAGGTTTTCAGTTCAAGTACCACACCCACCACCCTGATCAGTCAACCCTCCTCAATAGCTTTACCAAGGTAACCTCAGGTAACCTGATTCCCTCAAGAAAGTCTACCCAATAGGCCGGGCAGGCACCCCATCCCATCTAACTCTACAGCATCGAACTCTATAGCATTACCTACACTCGCCACGAATGAATTTCTTAAAAAGTAAGTAAGTCTACTCCGCTCTCCAAATCCCATCCAAAGACCCTCTCCTCTCGATAGAACGTAAGAGACTAAGGCAATAGCAAACGTTTAGTAAGGGTTTTATCGCGCTAACTCTCTAACGACGATAATCATCAACCTATAGACCACTAGATTTTAGAGTCTCTCTGGAGTTTTAGAAGAATTCACAAACGTCTAACATCACAACCATTTGTGAATGTTTTCAAGAGTTTGACTGAGAATTTAACTACTTCTACTGCTGTTACTATTACTATTACTATTACTGCTTCTCTTTCTAAAGGCGTTTGTTAAGAGTAAGGCTATAAGACTTCTTATTGCCCACTCTACTCCTCCCATCTCTATCTAAAACATTTGTTAATT